GTTTTTTTTTGTTTTTTAATTTCAATAATAAAGAGGGCCAGGATGACCTTTTTCTGGAAGGAATGTTGTATTTGTTGTCACTCTTGATCCTTGCTGATCTCCAACATAAAGAGTATATGATACTGGTAAAAAAAAAAAAAGTAATGCTAGATAGCTATCTATGTTTTGTTTTATTTTACCTATTTTGTTAAATATTTCCAATGACATTTTGATCTGGCTCAGGATGCATTTTGTTGTTGTTGGTCAATTGTGTCCAACTCTTTGTGACATCATTTGGGGTTTTCGTGGCAAAGACACTAGAGGGCTTTGCCATTTCCCCCTCCAGTTCATATTACAGATGAGGAAACTGAGGCAGAGGGAAGTGACTTGCTCAAGGTCACACAGCTAGTAAGTGTCTGAGATCGGATTTGAACTCAGGAAGAGGAGGCTTCCTGACTTCAGGCCCAGTGCTCTGTATATTATGGCACCACCTAGCTTTTCCCAAGAGGGGATATTCTGAGATATCGTTTGTTGTTCAGTAGTATTTACTCTTCATGATCCTGTGAATTGTAGCACACCATTGCTATCCATGAAGTTTTCTTGGTAAAGATACTGGAGCAGTTTGCCATTTCCTTCTCCAATGGATTAAGGCAAACAGAGGTGAAGTGGCTTGCCCATGGTCTGAGGCTGGATTTGAACTCAGGTCTTCCTGACTCGAGGCCCAGTACTCTATCCACTGCAGCACCAGCTGCCTAACTTGGACCTAAAAAACTATCCTGGGGGCCCTATGTGTGGGAAAGGATGCCCCAGGTGCTAATCCCTCTCATTTGAGGGATTAGATTGAGGAAGCATGAAAAAACCCACTGGACAAAGGCTCTTTGAAGTTTGATGGCTTGGAACTAGCAGAGGCCAGGATTGGTTGTCATATCAAAGGTGTCGGATCCCTCTTCACCAGAATGAGTACAATTCTTAGTCTTTCTGTCTGTCCAATAAAAACCCCAAAAGTGCCTTTCAAAAATACTTTCCTTTGTTTAAGGTTAACTTTACCTGAGGGTCTATGAGAGACACTGTACAAATGAAGTTCCGGTTTCCTTTGGCCTTCTCAAGTATGTGATTGGTTTCTAGGCCTGGATACCAAGGAAAAATTGATCTAACCACAGCTGGGCTTTTAAATCCAGAATGCAGTCCATTTCCTTAGGAGGCATTGGAAATAGCTGTGCCATCCCTACATCTGGAAGGCTTTTCAGAGAGGTCTTTGATTAGGAAATATTTAGAGCCCAAACTGATGGAGAGTAAAAAAGAACTAAGAAAACAATTTATGTTGAGTCCTGTCTGACTCTTCATGACTCCCATTTGGGGTTTTCTTAGCAAAGATACTGGAGTGGTTTGCCATTTCCTTCTCCAGCCCATTTTACAGATGAGGAAACTGAGGCAAACAAAGCAAAGTGACTTGCCCAGTGTCTGAGGTTGAATTTGAACTTGAGAAAATGAATCTTCTTGGTACTCTATTCATTACAGAGCCACCTAGCTGCTCCCGAAACCAATCTATACCAAGACCATAATAGTGGAAAGGAAAACAATACTGAAAGACTATAAGCCCAAGAATAACTAAAGGTAGGGAATAGGGCATAGACTGTAAGATTTGGCTAGAGGTGAGCTGGTAAATATTTAACAACCAGCTTTCCCATATATGTGTGTGTGTGTGTGTGTGTGTGTGTGTATACATATATATATATATATATATATCCCCTTGAGACACTTTTAAGTTTAATTTGCATTATGAGCATTTCCTCATCACTTTCTTAAGTCTAAACAATCAACAAAGCAATAAATCAAGCCCTAATTTGTAGGGGGTTTGCCAATTTCTGAGATACAAATAAATGCACTGAAAATTTAACAATGGCTCTGAACCAGCTCCAGGATTTGGCCAATGTGTTAGTTTGTTTTACTCCCATGAGATCTTAGATCTAGAACTGGAAGAGATCTCAGGGGCATTTAGTCCAACCCTTTAATTTTACAGAGAAGGAAACTGAGGCTCAGCAAGATTAAATATTGAGGCTTTCTGTTGTGAGGAAAGTGCTTTGTAAACAGTAACTTACTAAGAAACTTAGAGTTGTCACATTATTGAGTAGTAATCCTGGTGTAGTGAAAAGTCTGCTGAAGCTGGGATCAGGAAGAACTGGTTTGATTTTCACCTCCAACACTTCTCAGCTATGTTAAAGAAGGGCAAATCACTTAATCTCTGAGCCCGGTTTCCTCATCTGTAAAAATGGAGCTAATTATCCCTGTAGTATCTATTTAAAGGCTGACATGAGACTCAAAAGAGAATGTGACGCTATGAAGAGCATGCCTCCCTCTGGAGTCAGAGGGCCTGGGTTCACCTGGCACACTTGCCACCTGTATGCCCTTGGGGCAAATCACGGCCTCTGGAGCCTCACTTTTCTCTCTGTAAAATGAAATGTGGTGGAGAGAATTCCAGGCTTTGGAATATCTGATCTGGGTCCAAAACTTGCCTCTGATATCTACTACCCATGTAACCTTGGATAAATGATTTCCCCTCCCCAAGCCTCAGTTTCCTCACTTGTAAAATTGAGGGGTTTCACTCAATGGCCTCTAAAATCCCTTGCAGCCATAGATTTATGATCCTGTCTCTTTCTCTCTCTAGGCCTCAGTTTCCTCAATCTGTTTTTTAAAAAATGAAGGAGTTAATCTAGGTGGACTATAAGGTCCTTTTCAGATCGGAATCTATGATCTAATGTATGGGGAGTGGGTAGGGAAAAGGAAATGTAACTCTTCCCATGAAGCTGCAAATGTGCTAAGGCACCTCTGGTCGTTTGTATCCTGGCACATATGGAAATTTCCACATATGTAAATTTCATCTCAAACCTTAAAGTGTTCTGGAAACGTCAATTATTAGTACTGGCTGGTTGGTGGGTAAAGAAATGAAAGGAACTAGCAAACTATTGAACAGGCAGCACACTCCCTCACCAGCCCCCTTCTGTTTCTGCCCCCCTCTCCCCAGTCTATAGTCCATGCATTCACTTGGGACCAGGAAAAGTCCAGAATATCTGTCTATATAAAAGTTAGCCAAAGTTGGGCTTCTGACCCTGGGTCATCCCTGTGGGCTGCTGAAGTAATTTGTACTCCATCAACCAAAGGCCAGCTGCCTTTGGGGCCCTGGTCTTTTGTTCCCCAAGGCCGAGTACTATTCTCTGACTCTTTCTTCTTTGCTTTTGCCCATCTGCGGCTGTGACTGTGGGATTGAGCAATCAAAGGATTTAAAAGCATCTAGTGGGTTTGAGACAAATTGCAGAAAATAGTGTGTGCGTTTTAACTTCCTTATTGCATAGTATTTGTGGGGGTTGAGAGCATGGGGGAGGAAGGGAATTTTTTTCACTCCCTCACAAACCTAACCTCTCTAAAACTTAAAAGTCTTACACTGAGAAACTTCTCCCTTCTTTCCCCACAACCTTATCTCTTTCTGTCTCTCTCTCTTTCTGCCTCTGTCCCTTCCTCTCCCTTTTTCTCTCTCTTCTTTCTCATGATTTCATTCTTTCAATCCATACTTTTTAAACACCTACAATGTATATGTGTAGAGCACTGAGCAAGGCATGGGGATGGGAGTTGGAGGGAGCTACAAAGTCTAACTAAGATATGGACCCAGGCCTCATGGAATTAATAACCTGGTTGTCTTCTAGCTATTCTTTCACATAGGCTCCATTCACACACTATGAAAACACACAAAGGCAGGCAAAGCTGTAACTAGAGTGGAGCAATGGGGCTTTGCCCCAGGGCATAGAATTTTAGGGGGCACTGACAGTATTTGAAGTCTCTCAGCAGAAATACCAGAGCATGGTTTCCAGCTAGAAATAATAATTTGTTATCAGATGGCAGATGGTAAGACGGAATGAGCACCTCTCACATGGCACATTGGCATGATTTGTGGGATTTACCTTGTATAAAAATTCCTAGCTATGGCTCTACACACAATATCACAGATTTGGTGTTAGAAGGGGCCTTGGAGCTCAAGTAGCAGAACAAGCATTGACTGTGGAATGGAGAGGGCCCACTTCTGATATTCACCACCTGTGACCTTGGTAGTCACTTCATCTATCTAGGCCTCAGTTTCCCCATCTAAAAAATGAGGGAGTTAGGGGCAGCTAGCCCTAGTATCAGGAGGACCTGAGTTCAAATCCAGTTTCAGACCAGACAACACTTGATACTTATTAGCTGTGTGACCCTGGGCAAGTCACTTAACCCCAATTGCCTTACAAAAAAAAAAAAAGAAAAATGAGGGAGTTAGATTAGATGGTGACTTCCAGCTCTTATATCTATGATCCTATAATCTAGTCCAACCTGCTCATTTTGCAGATCAGAGAACTGAGGCCCAGGAAAGTTAAGCAACTTGCCCAAGCTCACAAACCTAGCAGGTAACATTCAAATCCAGGTCCTTGGACTCCAAATCCAACACTCTTCTACTTGAGTGCAGTGCCTCTCAATAACAGGAGAGGGGAAAGTGGTAGAGGGAATGAAGTGTGAACATTTAACAAACAGGTCAAAATATCTGACTCCCAGGGAGCATTCTCCTCTCTAATCATAAGAGATGCCCATCCCTAAAAATCTACTCATTTAGGGGGCAGCTAGGTAGTACAGTGGATAGAGTATTGGCCCTGAAGTCAGCAGTACCTGAGTTTAAATCTTGCCTCAGACCAAACACTTGACACTTACTAGCTGTGTGACCCTGGGCAAGTCACTTAACCCTAATTGCCTAAAAAAAAAATCTACTCATTTGTCTGTGTGACCTTGGACAAGTCCCTTCCCTTCCTGGAGCCCCAGTTCCCTTATCTATAAGATAAGGGTTAGGTGACCTCTAAAATATCTTCTAGCTATTATCTTATGATAAGATCTCTATCTTTTAAGCCAGCTCATACATTCACTAGCTGTCTGACTCTGGGTCAATCATTTAGCCTTGGTCCTGGGTGGGTGGGAAAAAGCTTGAACATAAGCGGTCTCCCTCTTACCAGCAGGCTCCTTGAATGGCTTCATTGGGAGCAGAAGGGCAAGGGAGTGACACATGCTTGGCCATTGAACTGAGAGATATTCGACCATCGAGCTTTGCTGTTGCCACATATCAAGCTAGAAGAATCTATTCTTGTGTCTTTGGTCTCCAACCTGTATTCAGAAAGGAGACAAAAGGGAAAAGATCATCAAGAATTTTCCCCATTCAGTGTCTAGAGAAGACTGAGGCTCAGTAGCCTGGTAAACATCAGAGCCGGGACTGGGACCCACATGGTGTCAGGATGAAGACCCCACGCTTCTGATTCTATTCTCAGTGCCCTTTTCCCTAAAAAATATTTGAAAGTAGGACTGTGGTTTGCAGTGTCATGATAATGCCTTTAAAATGACAAAAGGATTTCGGCAAGGAGGCCATGTTAAGTCTTAAGTGACACATGTTGTCTCTCTGTGGCTAAAAAAAGACACAGCATAAACAAGGACATTTAGAAAATGTGAACAGGAACAATTGAACATAAACCGAGAGTCTTGTAAAAAGAAAGAGGAAATGAGTCAATGGCTAAAGGAAGCTTTGTGTTCACAGTAATCCAAAGGAAAAAAATAAAAGTCTGCCTGAAAAATGAGATTACCCTAGGAAGCTAAGAACTCAGATGGAAAAAGCTCATTTCAGAGGATTCTCCAAAATGAACAGTATGTTTGTCTAGAAGCAAGAGTGGAAGGCACCAACTTTGGCAGCAGAGGCCCAGACTTTGAGGCCTGGCTCAATGACTTTAGGCAAATCTCTTCCCATCTTTTGGGCCTCAAGTTTTCCAGAAATTAAAGATATTGGACTGGCTAGAGATTGAAGTCCTTGTCAGCTCTATGTCCTCTGGTCCAGGGTTGAGATTTGCTGATAAGAGGTCTGTTTACTTAGGACCCCTCACAGATACAGGCCCAAATCTGAAAAGATGTCTGAAGTTATGAAACAATCATTTCTCAGAGCTTATATAAAAAAGGATTTTAAATTTAGTCAAGTCAAGGTATATGATGCATCTCCTCATCTCTGTTCCTCAGCTAAGCCTTGTAGGGGAAACAAAAGAAGGTATTAGCTTGCTCCCTGACTTTGAGGGCTTACAATCTAGTTGAGAAGACAAGAATCCTAGAGCTATATATAAAGAAGTGGTTAATCAGAGATGCTCTCAGATCAATTAGATAAGCTGGGAGGGTAAGCCTTTGTTTGTTCAGAAGCTTGCATTCTATCCATTTCCCATTTTTCAGCATAAACAGTTATCTTGAATGGGTTCTCACCCACTAAATAAGTATACCTGCACTCCCTATCTTTGGGCTTCTATGTGGCACTTCAGTGGATCGAGTACTGGGCCTGGAGTCAGGAAGACTTATCTTCCTAAGTTCAAATCTAGCCTCAGACACGTACTAACTGTGTGACCCTGGGCAAGTCACTCCACTCTGTTTGCCTCAGTTTCCTCATCTGTCAAATGAGCTAGAGAAGGAAATGGCAAGCCACTCAGTCTCTTTGCCAAGAAAATCTTAAAAATGGGATCATAAGGAGTAGGACACCACTGAAAAGGATTGAACACCTACCTTTGGCAGATAGTTATGAGGAAAGAAACCATACCCCACCCACCCTAACCCAGCGTACCCTAAGAGAGTTAGTTCTGGAATACCATCCTGGGCCTGAGCTGTCCTGATTGGTAAATGGAAGAGTGGAGGGAGAGAATGTAAAATTGACTCTAGACCAAGCTTCACATCCCACGTTGTCACCTGCCTTTCTTCCAAGGACATTGCAGAGGCCTCCCTTCTACCTCTGCTCTGAGGCTTGTAACCAACTACCAGCATTACCCTATAGCTCCATTCACCAGCCTTGCAACTGCCCAAACCAAAACTCCCTTCCCTGTTAGAATATAAGGTCCTGTAGGGCAAATTTATTTCTTCAATCTCTGGTATATAATAAGCACTTAATAAAGTTCTTTTTTTCATTCATTCATTTGTAAACCTTAAAACATTATAGAAACTTGAAGAATGGCTTTTAGTTTTGTTCAATGATTTTGGGAGGGGGGGAGCAAGATGATCTTTACTTAATAATTAGTAGGCAGTATAATGTAGGTGAAAGATGACTGCATATGAACTCAGAGGACTTGAGGAGGAATCCTGGCTCTGATACTTGCCAAGACACCCACTAGGTTTCAGGACTTGGAGCCAGGAAGACCTGACTTCAAATTCTGTCTTAGACATATACTAGACATATACTATGGTTCTTGGTCAGTGACTTAACATCTCCCAGCCTCAGTGGCCTTCTGTATAAAATGGAGGTAATAAAAGCACCCACCCCACAGGGCTACTGTGAGGATTCAATGAGATAACTTATCTGCCATGTGTTTTTCAGACATCCAAATGCTATGTAAATGTTAGCTCTTATTATTACTTCAGTTTTTTTCCTCTGTAAAATGAGAAGTTTAAACTAATGATGTCTAAGTTTCCTCTACCTCAAAATCCTATAAAATGGTCTCTCATCTTGGAAGATTTTGTGTGTCCTGGCTGCTCCTCCCTGAAGGATTTGGAGTGGGGGGGATTAGGGAGAAGAAAACTGTTACATCGGCTAATCAGTAAGGAACTGGTCACCTTTCCCCAATCTCTGGTTGTAGAGAGAAGGAAAAGCAAGATAAAACACCAAAAAACAAAAAAACGGCAGAAAGTTGGGGGGGGGGGAACTCCCTTACCATATTGCCACATACTCTGGATTTTTCCTGGCCCACCAATTTTTTTTTCTTTTTCTTTCTTTCTTTCTTTTATTTATTTTTAGGTTTCAACATTCACTTTTATAAGATTTTGAGTTCCAAATTTTTCCCCCCTCTCCCCTCTCCCCTCCCCAAGATGGCATGCAATTGGCCCATCAAATTTTGAGGGGAAAAAAATAATCCTCTGCTTCCCTATAAAAAAAACCCCAACCCTACTTCTTTATTTTCTTGCTTTAAAGCAGACATTCTACTGCCTTCAGATGGCTCTCGAAAGGGAAAAAAACCACTTTGTCCTTGCAGGGGGAGACAATGAGTTAACTTAAAGGAAGGGTTTTGAGTGAGGGAGTAATCAGAGCTGAGCATTAGGAAAATTGATCTCACAGCTGGGGGTCGAATGGATTGGAGTGGCCTAGGAGGCCAGGGTGTTTCTATCTCTATTGCAGCAGCCTTCTCCTAAGTGCTACTGAGAGAACATTTCTGAATGTTAGGGGGCTGGGGGGAAGAGAGAATGGCATCCATCCAGAATTTTCATGTCCCTGGCATGAGCTCAAGGACTATCTATCTTCTCTGGGAAGATTTCCGAGGCAATCCCCTCCTCCCAAGTTCAGTAGACCCAAGGGATATATGTGACCAGTCAAAACCCCATATCTGTAGATGAGACAAGGGACAGTTAGATCTTCCTCAGGTCTCATGGGATAGAGAAAGATGACATTGTCAGCTGATTGAGTTATCTTTTTAGATTCCCCAGGGAGCAGGGAGAGGGACGGATTACCTTTTTCCAGGAGCCAAATGTGTATCCTCCTGTTCTTGGTGGAAGGAAGGTCTAGTTTTGATGAGTTGGGACTAGTTTCCCTATCTGTAAAATTTGGGGGTGAGGGAAGTAGACTGGATGACCTCTAAGGGGCCGCTTAGCTCTAACTTCCTTATATCCTATATTCCAGTCATGTGATTATAATGACTAGTCTTGGACCCGAAGAAGAGATGAAAAAAATGCACCTCTCTCCTTTTTCTGGAACATTGGAGAGGAGAAATGTGTTGCAGAAAGCTGCATGCAGTATCTGTTCTAATTGCTGTATCATTCATTGGTTTGGGGTTTTTTGGTCACAAGAGAAGGCTAGGAGGAAGATGAGAAGGAGGGATATAACCCGGAAGCATCAAACTTTTAATCCATCCATATAAAAATAACCAAAATTGAAACACAGTTTATATTCCAAGGTCCCTTTACAGATTTAATATTCTGTGACTGGTTGAAACAGAAGAGACCTATGGGAATGGGACACACAATATGGCCAGTAAAGGGGGAGAAGGAAGACTACAGATGTTGAGTACATTGTCTGCTATTGCTTTGTCCTTGGTTTTAATTGCTTTTCTTTGTCACAAGTGAAGGCTTACCTGGGGAGAAGTCCAGAAGGAAAGGGACAGGTCAGTCAGTTAGCAAATATTTATTAGGTACCTACTATATGCCAGGCACTATGCTAAGCAATTAGGATACAAAGGAAGACAAAAGACAGTCTGAGCACTCAAGGAGCTCAGTCTAATGGGAGAGATAACATGTAAACAGCTTTGTCCAAAAAAGCCATAGGCAGGATAAATTGGAAATAAGCTACAGAGGGGAGGTATTAGAATTAAGGGGGTTGGGGAAAGGATTGGAATAGCAAAAAGAAAAGGCATAAATCAAATTCTGAAAAAAAAATCACATGTTCCAAAGTCTCTGCCGGATTTAATATTCTATGCATTCAATGATTCTGGCTGAAAGAGATGGGACCTAGAGGAATGGGATACTGTCTGGCCAGGGAGGGGGCAAAAGAACCAGGGAGAGGAAGAGGGAAAGGTGAAAGGGATCCAAAAGTAAACCAGGACTACTTTAAACCTTTTTATTCTATCTTGGCACCAGTTTTGCCTAGCAAAGGCCAGAGAACAAGTTTTGCAGAGTGTTTACCATTTAGGAGGGAAAGATGAACTTAGCCTGTCTGAATGGGCCAGCCTAGCTATTTAGGAGAAACAGGCAATGACATGAATTTTTCCCTTTTTCCTCTCTCAACTGTGAATACTGTAGGGGGAAAAAAACAGATCCAGCCAGCCTTGAATCTGCAGAATGAAAGGAATGCTACCTCTTTTTCTCAGTAGGTGGCATCAAAACTTAGCATTTCAGAAGAGAGAAGTGACTCCTCCCTGATACATTCTGGAAAGATCTCAGCAGCTTTATCATTTTCAGACTATTTCTCTATACTTAAAACTATTTTCCATTTCTGATCAATTCAGTAGAGTGACAATCCAATCACATGTGGATGCTCATTATCCATTCATATTACCATTTATTAAGTACCCACAGGAATCAGAGCCCTGTGCTTAAGTCAGAGCAGGGCCCCTTAACCTTTTTATTTCCTCTTTTTTTTTGTCCTGGACCCTTGGGGCTGTCTGGTGAAACCTATGGACCCTCTCTCAGCATAATTTTTAAAGTATAAAAATAAATAAAGAGGATTACAAAAGAAACCAATTATATTGAAATACAGTTATCAAAATATATTTCTTTAAAGAGTTCAGTGACCCCAGATTAAGAACCCTTGGTGCAGAGGGAGATAGCAAATTTAAGACTGGGTCCCTTAAACCCAAAGTCTAATGGGGTTGGTTGGGGGAGGGAGAAAAAGAGAGAGAGTGAGAGACAGAGAGACAGAGAACATCCATATAGCTGATTGCCATAGATGGTAAAAGCAAAATATTTGAATAAAGTGTTATGTGAGATGAGAGAGGGTAAAAGGGTATTTATTACCCGCTAGGGAGACCAGAAAAAGCTTCTTAGAGAAGGTAGCATGTCAGCTGGACTTTAAAGGATGAATAGGAATTAAATATGGCAGAGGAAAAGGTTATGCAGACATTTTTCAACATTACATTTCATTTTTTTTCAATTAGCAAATATCTGCCTTCTCTCCCTTCTACTCCAGCCCTGCCCCCCTCCCATCATAATGAAAGAAAAAACCAAAGCCCTGTTACAGACATGTATAGTCAAGCAAAACAAATTTCCATGTTGGCCATGTCCAAAAAAAGTCTTTGTTTCCTCTACTGGGAGAGCTTCACCTCTCTATAAGGAAGTGGGTAGCATGTTTCATAGTCAGTCCTCTGGAATAGTGGTGGGTCATTATATTAAGAAGAGTTCCTAATTCTTTCAAGATCGTTTGTCTTTACTATATAAATTGTTCTTCTGGTTCTATTCATTTAGCATCACCTCATCTAAGCCTTCCCAGGTTTCTCTGAAACTATCACCTTCATTATTTCTTACAGCCTGATAATATTGTGTCATATTTCTATACCATAACTTGTTCAGCCATTCCCCAATTTATGGGCACCCCCTCAGACTCCCATTCTTCATCACCTCAAAAAGAGCTATAAATATTTATGTACATCTTTAGAGTTTGTTTTGTTTAGGACTAATCTGTACCTTATCTACCCTCCCACTAATTCCTCCTTCCCCCTTTTCCCATTTCCCTCCTATTTCCCTGTTGAATGAGATATATTTTTATACCCAACTCTGTGTGTGTGTGTGTGTGTGTGTGTGTGTGTGTGTGTGTGTGTGTATCTCCCTCCTTGGACCAGTTCAGATGAGAGTGAGGTTCAGGTGTCAGCCTCTCCTCCACCCCATTTATTTATATAGACTTCCACTTTTGCACCCTGTTTATGTGAGATAATTTTGCCTATACTTCCTTTCCCTCCTCCTCCCCACTACCTCCTTGAGTGTTCCTTTCCCCTTCTCAAGATCATCAAGCCAGGCCTTCTGTCTCATTAGACTCCTTCCATAAGTCCTGATGATGGTAGGGTTCATTGAGCAGCCATTTTGTCAAGCCACAGGAAACAGAACGAGCAAAGATTTACAGAGCTCAGAGTATGTACCTGGAACCACAAGGCAAAAGAAAATCTATGATATGCGGCTAGAAGGAACTTCTGAGGCCACCAAATCCAACTCCCTCATATTACAGAGGAGGAAACTGAGGCTGCCCTGTGTAACAACTGAAGGCAATAAGGAGCAACTGTAGGTTTTTGAGCAGAGAAGTGACAACTGGGACAGCTAGGTGGTGCTGCAGTGGATGGAGCGCAGGGCCTGGAGTCAAGAACACCTGAGTTCAAATTCAGCCTCAGACACCTACTAGTTTAGTTGCATGACCCTGGGCAAGTCACTTCACCCTGTTTGCCTCAGTTTCCTCATCTGTCAAATGAGCTGGAAAAGGAAATGGCAAACCATTCCAGGGTCTTTACCAAGAAAACCCTAAAAGGGGTCACAGAGAGTCAAACACCACTGAAAATGACTCAACAGCAACAACAAATAGTGATACAATCACCTAGTCACTGAATAATAGAAATGACAATTTTTAATACACAGAAAAAAAGGAGAGATCAAAAGGAGACAAGGAGGCAAACAAGATGCTTGTTATTATTTTGAATTTTAACAATGTTAGAGGTAGAAGAAGTCCTACCTCTTACTTTATTTGTAAAAATAAACATTCAGGGGCAGCTAGGTGGCACAGTAGATAGAGCTCCAGCCTTGGAGTTAAGAGGATATGAGTTCAGATCCAGCCTCAGACACTTGAAACTTACTAGCTGTGTGACCCTGGGCAAGTCACTTAACCCCAATTGCCTCACTTAGAAAATGAATAAAAATAGACATTCAGGTCCCTTGCCATACCTTTAAGTTCCTATGGAGCTTCATTTGTCCTTTTTTCCCATGATGCTTAGCTCCCAGAGGAAGTGATTGCTCCACATACCTTAGAGTAGTGGTGCTCAAAGTACAGGGGTCCTGAGACCATTTCAGGACATCTGCAAAGTCAAAATTTTTTTTGTAATAAGGAAGGAAGCAATCATTTATTAAATACCTACTACGTGCCAAGCACTTTGTTAAGTTCTTTATAAATATTATCTTACTTGATGCTTCCAACAGAGAGAGGTGCTATTATGATCACCATTTTACAAGTGAGGAAACTGAGGCCAAGAAAGGTTAAACGACTTGCCCAGAGTCACACAGCTAGTGTCTGAGGTTGGATTTAAACTCAATTCTTTCTGATTCACTGTGCCACCTAGAAGCCTCTCTTAATTATACTAAGATATTTTCATTTCTGATGTGATAAGTATCACTATGATCTACATAAACAAAAGCTTTGGGGGGGCAGTCCTTAATACTTTTTTGGGGGGGAGGGGCTAGGCAATGTGGTTAAGTGACTTGCCCAGGGTCACACAGCTAGTAAGTGTCAAGTGTGTGAGGTCACATTTGAACTCAGGTCCTCCTGACTCCAGGGCTGGTGCTCTATCCACAGCAGCATCTAGCTGCCCTGCTTAATACTCTTTTAAGAGTGTAAAGGTATGCTGAGACCAAAAGGTTTGAAAACTGCTATCTTAGAGTGTCCAGAGACCCTTGGCCACTGAGATTCAGAGAGGTTGTAACTTTGCCTAAGATCACACAGCTAGTGGCAGAACTGAGACTAGAAGTCAGGTCTCCTAACTCCCAGTCAGTACTCTTATTGTAATGTCTCATAGAGAAAACATAGTGCCTTTGTTATTTACAATTTGTAATACAAAATGACAGTACCCACTACAATAGCTTATATGGATCTTATGAAACAAAAGTGCTTTTGTATATTCTTATTACTCTGCAGGCTCTTTGGAATGGATGTAACAAGAAAATTAGATAATGCTATTCTACAGCCACCTTGAGTTTTCAGCAAATCTGAATATAAGTTACTGACAGGTTGCAATTTGCCTCGATGGAGGGAGTTCCCACACCTGGAAATCACAGGTCCTTGACACATTGGCAATTCTAATGTCTGGAACTCATAGCCGACAAGGTTATGCTAGAATTTTACAGCATCAGAGAATTTCAGGGTTGGAAGGGCCATC